TCCTTCCTCATCCTTCTTCTTCTTCTTCATCCTCATCCTTCTTCTTCTTCTCTCATCCTCATCCTTCTTCTTCTTCCTCATCCTTCTTCTTCTTCATCCTCAACCTTCTTCCTCTTCTTCATCCTCATCCTTCTTCTTCTTCCTCTCCTCCTCTTCCTTCTTCTTCCTTCATCCTCATCTTCTTCTTCATCCTCTCCTTTCTCTTCTTCTTTCTTCTTTCTTCTTCATCCCTCATCCTTCTTCTTCTTCTTCGTTCCCTTCTCCTTCTTCAGGCTCTCTCCTTCTTCTTCTTCTCCTTCTTCTTTCTTCATCCTTCATCCTTCCTTCCTTCTTCTTCTTCTTCTTCATCCCCATCCTTCTCTTCTTCTATCTCCTCTTCTTCTTCTTCTTCCTCATCCTCCCTCCTTCTTCTTCTTCTTCTTCTTCTTCTTCATCCTCAATCCTTCTTCTTCTCCTCTCTTCTTCTTCTTCTTCTTCTTCTTCCTTCTTCATCCTCAATCAGACTTCTTCTTCTTCTTCTTCCTCTCATCCTTCTTCTTCTTCTTCTTCTTCATAACCTCCTTCTTCATCCTTCTTCTTCTTCATTCTTCTTCTTCATCCTCATCCTTCTTCATCCTCATCCTTCTTCTTCTTTCTCCTCTCCTTCTTCTTCTTCTTCTTCATCCCCCATCCTTCTTCTTCTTCTTCTTCTTCTTCTTCCTTCTTCTCTCTTCTTCCTTCATCATCCTCATCTTCTTCATCTTCTATCTTCTCCCTTCTTCTTCATCCTCATCCTTCTTCCTCCTTCTCCTCATCCTTCTTCTCCCCTCTTTCCCCTTCTTCTTCTTCATCTCATCCTTCCTTCTTCTTCTTCCTTCCTCTTCTTCTTCTTCTCTCATCCTTCTTCTTCTTCATCCTTCTTCTTCACCTCATCCTTCTTCTTCTTCTTCATCCCTCATTCTTCATCCTTCTTCTTCATTCTTCTCATCCTCATCCTTCTCTTCATCTTCTCCTCATCCTCATCCTTCTTCTTCTTCTCAACCTTCTTCCTTCATCCTCATCCTCTTCATCCTTCTTCTTCTTCTTCTTCATCCTCATCATCCTCCTTCTTCATCCTTCTTCTTCTTCTTCTTCAATCCCCATCCTTCTTCCTTCTTCATCCTCCTCATCCTTCTTCTTCTTCTTCCTCATCTCCTCATCTTCATCTTCTCATACTTCTTCATCCTTCTTCATCATTCCTCCTTCTTCTTCTTCATCCTCATCCTCCTTCTTCTTCTTCTTCTTCATTCTTCTTCATCCTCATCCTTATTCTTCTTCTTCTCTTCTTCTTCATCCTCATCCTTCTTCATCCTCATCCTCCTTCTGCTTCTTCTTTCTTCTTCATCTTCTTCTTCTTCATCTTCTTCTTCTTCATCTTCTTCGTCGTGCCCCGTGACTGCCCAAAATGAGTGAAGTGTGCGGTGATTCTAAGATCGACGGCACTCATCTGCATGTCATACTGACTGACAGTATTATTTCTCTTCCCCAGCAGACTCCAAGGGCATTTAAATTAAAGGTACAGTGTTCTGCACTAATATAAACTAGGCAGGAACACAGGATACCAGGTACAGGGGCTCATGGGAAATGTACACCAAGGCACTGATCACAGGCCTGGTCCTGCTTAAATACACCTCCTGCAATCAGCTGATGGCTGACTGCAGGAGTGAGCTTCTGGTTGCTGAGAGCACCCGCTGGCCAGCCCTGGTACTGCAGCCCACACGGCAGGTGAGTCCCACCACCAGTGGTGAATCCATTCCTGACAGGGTTAAATTGTCCTGGGAAAAGATTTAGATTATTCAAGGAGTTACAGCATAGATCATCAGCGGTGGTATTCTTGCAGGAGACACATTTGGAGATGGAATCAAAAGTTAGGCTGAAATCTAGGCATTACCCAACCTGGTACTATGCAGATTCCCCAATTAAGAGAGCAAAAGGAATAGCAATAGGGTTTGCGAAGAATATAAGGTTTGAGCTGGAGGGGAGAGAAACAAACTCTGAGGGAAGATTTTCTTCTTAAGGGGTAAATTGCAAGAGATCGAGTGTACTGTAGCTAATATTTACTGCCCAAATAAGAAACCAGAGATATTTTTGAAAGGTATTTTAAAAAAGCTGATAGTGGCTGGAGATTTTAATGTTTGTATGGACCCACAGATGGATTCATCTTCTAATGTGCAGAGAGAGAGGGGTAGACAATTGAAGAAAACAATTCAGGAATGCCAATTGGTAGATACCTCGAGAATTAAGCACTTGAAAGATAGAGATTATACTTTCTTCTCAAATGCACATAAGATGTATTCAAGACTGGATTATATATTAATAGAACATCGACTTATTGAATCTGTGGTTAATGTAAATATAGAGGTTGGGGTGATTTCCGGATCATGCTCCTGTCATAATGAAATTAGGATGGGGTAGGCGGAAGACGGGAGGTCTAATGTGGAAGTTGAATGAAGCACTTCTCCTGGATCAAGAGATTGATAAGAAGATAGAGGAAGAGATTAAGAGATTCTTTGAGGAGAATGATACAGGAGAAGTGTCGATCACTACAGTATGGGAGGCGCATAAGGCTTACATACGAGGTATACTCATTGCGAATGGGGTTAGAAAGAAAAAAGAAAGGAGAGAGAAATTGAATGGACTTTTAAAGGAATTATTTGAGCTTGAACAGATACATAAAAATAGAATAACAAAAGAGATAAATCAGGAAATAAAAAAAAAAAAGAAAAGAAGAATTAGAGTTATTAATGGAAGAGGAAAAAAGAAGAGTTTTTAATAAAGTCCTAAGTGAGAGATATAAATAGGGAGAGAAACCAGGAAAGTACCTAATGAGAGATCTGAGGAAAAAGAAGAATATGAATTATATTGAAAAAATAAAAAACCCCAAGGGAGAATTGGTACATTCAACTAAAGATATTGTTAAGGTGTTTAGAGAATATTATAGTAACTTGTACAATATCACCCCACATGACAATATAAATAAGTTGGGAGAGTCAAAAAGAGAGAAAAGAGAAACATATTTAAAAAATGCAGGTTTGCCAAAACTTAGTGAAGTACAAATGAAGTTTTTAGACTCAGAGATTACGCAGGAAGAAATATAAATAGCATTAAAAAGCTCTAAGTCTGGGAAAAGCTCAGGACCAGATGGCTATACGGTGAGATATTATAAAAAAATATAATGAATTGTTGATACCTAAAATGAAGATGTATATATGAATGCTTTGGGGGGAGAGATGGAGATGAGGTGGGAATCCCTACAGGCTCATGTGGTATTGATTCATAAAGAAGGAAAGGATGAATCCCAGTGTGCAAGTTATAGACCTATCTCACTGTTGAATACGGATACCAAGTTATATGCAAAGGTTTTGGCAAACAGGTTGAAGGATTTGATGCCCGATTGGATCCATGAAGACCAGGTGGGCTTTGTTTCAGGAAGAGAGGGCAGGGATAATAGGTTGAGATCCCTGTTGCTCATCCAGAATAGTAGAAAAGGGAAGAACCCGGTAGTGGTGATGTCAGGAATGGACTTGCCAGTAATGGTGGGACTCACCTGCCTTGTGGGCTGCAGTACCAGGGCTGGCCAGCGGGTGCTCCCAGCAATCAGAGACTCAACCCTGCAGCCAGCCAAACACCTGAAGCTGATCATGCAGGTGTATTTAAGGGATGGCCAGACCTGCAGTCTCTGTCTTGGTGTGTGTTTTTCCTGGGCCCTGTATCTTGTTACCTGCATTCCTGTCCCTGTTCCTGTTCATGTCCCTGTCTCTGTCTGACTGATTCGTTGCTGACCCTGCCTGATCCGGACCTCTGCTGACTTCTCCTGTTTGATCCCTGGCTTGTGACCCCGACCATTCTCTGCCTGACCCCCTGTTCCTACCTGCCCGATTGTTATTGACCCGGCCTGCCTGACGACGCTTGCATTGTATGTATTATCTGTGGGGTGGTTTGGTTCGTTTGCACTGTGTTATGTTTTAGTATTGCACTGCGTTTATGTATTGTTAGTGTTAATAAATTATATTGTTTATATCATATCTGAAGCCTGCGTTTCCCTGCGTCAGTTCACATACCTCTGGTCATACCCTGGAGCCCTGACATTACACCAAGGCCAATCCTGACCAGAAATGGCTGCACAGGGAAGCCATCTTGGCTTGTTGCTGGGAAGGATGGATCTTGATGAGGTTGTGTATTTGTCGCTGCTGGTTTTTGATGACAGAGAATATGCTTATCAGGCTCTGAGGGAGTATACCTGGGATCAACTGCTAGAATGTATACGGATCGCTCATGTTCTAGTAGATCAGGGCACAGAGTTCTCTGAGGTGCAACCTTTGATTCAGGTTTGTGTAGAGTTGGCTTCATCTGGTACCCCTGAAAGCAGGAATGACTTTTTGCCACCATTTAGTGCAGACCAGGTAGAGTCCCTGGTATGGTTATTAGAGGATGATGTGGATTGCTTCTTGGAGCATTATGCTGCATGTTCACCACAGGTATTAAGGGATTGTATAAACGCAGTGCAGTCTTTGACCAGACAGGCTTTGTGTAAGCTCAGCTTTGTTCAACCCATACTGCAGACATGGTCATACTTGTTGCACCCAGCCTCAGTCAGCTTGCAACGTCATTCCTCTGCTCAAGGCACTCTTCCTGCATCCCCGACAGCACCCCCAGTGACGGCCCAGTATACTCTGCTAACTACCACATACCCGTCCCCTGCTCCCACTCGCTGCACCTATCCTTTCTTTGACCCTGTGGAGAGGTCCTCTGTGGCGGCTGCTCCCTCCTCTGTTCCATCTTCCAGCTCTTCTCTGTCCTCAGCTGCTACATTTGTTTGCAGACCTGCGTTTACTTGCAGTGCTCCAGTAGTTAAAACCAGAAAAAAGCGAAAATTCTTTCCAACCAGTACCATCCTGCCAGTATCCAAACCGGTGAGCCTGCCGTCTGAGAACCTGCCTTCCGTGGTTCAGCCTGGTGCCTCGGCACCCGCACTTCAGCCTGATGTCTCTACCCAGCCTGATGCCTCTACCCAGCCTGATGCCTCCATTCAGCCTGATGCCTCTACCCAGCATGATGTTTCTACCCAGCCTGATGAACTGATCCAGCCTGATGATTCCATTAGGCCAGTTGACTCGATGCCCGCTGTCGATCCAGACGATCCGGTACCTGATGACCCAGTACCCGCTGTCATGCCTGGTGACCGATGCCCACTGTCGGGCCAGACGTTCCAATGTCTGACCCAGTGTCCGCGGTCATGCCAGTTGACTTGGAGCCCACTGTCGTGCCTGGTGACTCGGTCCCACTGCCTTGCCAGATGACGCGGTGCCCGCTGGCGAGCCAAATGACCTGATGCCTGGTGACCCAGTGCCCGCTGTCGAGCCAGACAATCCCATGCCTGATGACCCAGTGCCCGCTGTCATGCCTGGTGACCTGATGCCCGCTGTCGGGCCATCCGATCCAATGTCTGACCCAGTGCCCGCGGTCATGTCAGTTGACTCGGAGCCCACTGTTGTGCCTGGTGACTCGGTGCCCCACTGCCTTGCCAGATGACGTGGTGCCCGCTGGCGAGCCAAATGACCTGATGCCTGGTGACCCAGTGCCCGCTGTCATGCCTGGTGACCCGATGCCCGCTGTCGAGCCAAATGACCTGATGCTTGGTGACCTGATGCCCGCTCTCGAGCCAGACGATCCAATGTCTGACCCAGTGCCCGTGGTCATGCCAGTTGACTCGGAAACCCACTGTCGTGCCCGGTGACTCGGTGCCCACTGCTTGCCAGATGATGCGGTGCCCGCTGGCGAGCCAAATGACCTGATGCCTGGTGACCCGATGCCCGTTGTCGTGCCCTGATGACCCAGTGCCCGCCGCTCCGCCTGGGGGCCCGGCGCCCGTCGCTCCTCCTGGGGGCCCGGTGCCTGCCGCCCCTCCTGGGGGCCCGGTGCCCCGCCGCTCCGCCTGAGGGCCCGGCGCCCGCCGCTCTGCCTGGGGGCCCGGCGCCCCGCCTGGGGGCCCGATGCCTGTCGCTCCACCTGGGGGCCTGATGCCTGTTGCCCCGCCTGGGGGCCTGATGCCTGTCGCCCCGCCTGGGGGCCCGATGCCTGTCGCTCCGCCTGGGGGCCCGGCGCCCCAGCCTGGGGGCCCGGCGCCCGCCACCCCGCCTGGGGGGCCTGATGCCTGTTGCCCCGCCTGGGGGCCTGATGCCTGTCGCCCCGCCTGGGGGCCCGATGCCTGTCGCCCCTCCTGGGGGCCCGGCGCCCCGCCTGGGGGCCCGGCGCCGCCACCCCCCGCCTGGGGGGCCCGATGCCTGTCGCTCCGCCTGGTGGCCCGATGCCTGTCGCTCCGCCTGGTGGCCCGGTGCCTGCCGCTCCGCCTGGTGGCCCGGTGCCTGCCGCTCCGCCTGGTGGCCCGGTGCCTGCCGCTCCGCCTGGTGGCCCGGTGCCCGCTGCTCCGCCTGGTGGCCCGGTGCCTGCTGCTCCGCCTGGTGGCCCGGTGCCTGCTGCTCCGCCTGGTGATCCGGTGTCCAGCTCGATGTGCCTCTGCCCGGAGTCCAGCTCGATGTGCCTCTGCCCGGAGTCCAGCTCGATGTGCCTCTGCCCGGAGTCCAGCTCGATGTGCCTCTGCCCGGAGTCCAGCTCGATGTGCCGCTGCCCAGAGTCCTGCCTGGAGTCCCGCTGCCCGATGTGCCGCTGCCCGGAGTCCTGCCCGATGTGCCACTGCCCGGAGTCCTGCCCGATGTGCCGCTGCCCAGAGTCCTGCCCGATGTGCCGCTGCCCGGAGTCCTGCCCGGTGTGCCTGCCCGGAGTCCTGCCGGTGTGCCTCTGCCCGGAGTCTGCCCGGTGTGCCTCTGCCCGGAGTCCTGCCTGATGTGCCAGTCTTTGATATCCCGCCAGTTACCAGACCCGGACAGTGGAACATTTTGCCCAGCTAGGACTGTTTGGAGCGTCCTGAGGCCGCTCCTTGAGCGGGGGTACTGTCAGGAATGGACTTGCCAGTAATGGTGGGACTCACACTGCCTTGTGGGCTGCAGTACCAGGGCTGGCCAGTGGGTGCTCCCAGCAATCAGAGACTCAACCCTGCAGCCAGCCAAACACCTGAAGCTGATCATGCAGGTGTATTTAAGGGATGGCCAGACCTGCAGTCTCTGCCTTGGTGTGTGTTTTTCCTGGGCCCTGTATCTTGTTACCTGCATTCCTGTTCCTGTCCCTGTTCCTGTCCCTGTTCCTGTTCCTGTCCCTGTCTCTGTCTGACTGATTCGTTGCTGACCCTGCCTGATCCGGACCTCTGCTGACTTCTCCTGTTTGATCCCTGGCTTGTGACCCCGACCATTCTCTGCCTGACCCCCTGTTCCTACCTGCCCGATTGTTATTGACCCGGCCTGCCTGACGACGCTTGCATTGTATGTATTATCTGTGGGTGGTTTGGTTCGTTTGCACTGTGTTATGTTTTAGTATTGCACTGCGTTTATGTATTGTTAGTGTTAATAAATTATATTGTTTATATCATATCTGAAGCCTGCGTTTCCCTGCGTCAGTTCACATACCTCTGGTCATACCCTGGAGCCCTGACAGGTGATGTCGATTGATGCTGAAAAGACATTTGACAGAGTTAGCTGGGGCTTCATGATGGATACTTTAGAGGTCCTGGGGATAGGTGTCAGGATGAGAGAGTGGATAAAAAAGTTGTATAGTGGGCCTTCCGCAGTAATCATGATAAATGGTGAGAGGTCTGACCCTTTGGGAATGTCAAATGGTACAAGACAGGGGTACCCGTTGTCTCCATTATTGTATGTCTTGTCCTTGGAGTCTCTATTGTCTACAATTAGGATGAATGTGGATATTAAGGGTATTCAGATAGGTGATAGAGAACATAAGGTGGCTGCATTTGCGGATGATCTCTTGTTTTATGTGGGAAATCCCAGGATAACACTCCCAAATTTAATGAAATGCTTGAGGGAATATGGGGAACTACCAAACTTGAAAATCAATATAACTAAGATGGAGATTCTGAATATTAATCTCTCAAATAGTGAAAGAGAAAACTTAGAGAATTTCTCTTTACATGGAAGAATAGAGAGTTAAAGTATTTAGGAAAAAAACTTACGAACTCATATCAGAATTTATATCAACTAAATTATATGGCTTTACTAAATGAGATAAAGTTAGAATTAAGGAAAATGAGAGGAGGAATCCCGACTTGGTTAGGACGCATAAACTTGATAAAAATGATAATTATACCTAAAATCCTATATAAATTTCAAATGATCCCCATCAAACTCCCGGAGGCTTACTTTAAGTTAATTAAATAAATGATAACAAGATATATATGGAGGAATAAAAAACCTAGAATATCTTATGAAGTTTTAAGTAGAACTAAAGAGAGGGGGGGCTTGGGAGTGCCAGACTTTAAAAGATATTATAAAGAATTAATTCTGTCAAGAATATTTGATTGGACACATAACCCAAGTTGGAAAAGTTGGGTTAAAATTGAAAATACACTGAGTGGAAGGATATTGAGGGAAGTTGTATGGGTTCCAGCACAATATAGAGAATTAGATGATAACACTAGTTTGTACACTTTGAATGTTTTGAGAGTTTGGGATGTAATGCACAAACAAATGGGATGGGAGTTTAACTCACAATTAATGCGGAGCACAAAATTTTTCCCCCCAGGGCGAGAGAAGATTGTGGGAAAATGGATTAAGAAGGAAAACGCCTAGTTGAGAGACATAATGGTGGAGGGGGAATTTAAATCACTTAAGGATTTGGAAAAGGAGGGTGGAGAAGTTTTCACTAAGATACAGTTCCAAGAAAAAGTATGTGAACCCCTTGGGATTACGTGGAATTTTGCATGAATTGGGCATAAAATGTGCTCTGAACATCATCTAAGTCACAACAATAGAAGAACACAGTCTGCTGAACATAATACTACACAAACATTAGATGTTGCCATGGTTTAATTGCACCTAACATGTAAACATTCACAGTGCAGGGAGGAAAAAGTATGTGAGGCCCTAGCCTAATGACTTCTACCAGAGCTAATTGGAGCCAGGAGTGAGCCAACCTTGACTCCAACCAGTGTGATGATATTGGATGTGTTGCTGACAGCTGTCCTGCCCTTAAAAAAACACACACCTGTTTTGGGTTTACTGGTTTCAAAAAGCATTGTCTGATGTGAACCATGCCTCGCAGAAAAGAGCTCTCAGAAGACCTACGATCAAAAATTGTTGACTTGCATGAAGCTGGAAAGGGTTACAAAAGTATCTCCAAAAGCCTTGATGTTCATGTGTCCACGGTAAGATAGACTGTCTACAAATGGAGAAAGTTTAGCACTGTTGCTACTCTCCCTAGGCGTGGTCGTCCTGTAAAAATGACTGCAAGAGCACAGCGCAGAATGCTGCATGAGGTAAAGAAGAATCCCAGAGTGTCAGCTAAAGACCTACAGAAATCTCTGGCACATGCTAACATTTTTGTTGACACATCGACAATAAGGAAAACATTAAACAAAAATAGAGTACATGGGAGGACACCACGGAGGAAGCCATTGCTGTCCAAAAAGAATATTGCAGCACGTTTGAAGTTTGCAAAAGAGCACCTGGATGTTCCACAGCACTACTGGCAAAATATACTGTGGACAGATGAAACCAAGGTTGAGTTGTTTGGGAAGAACACACAACACTATGTGTGGAGAAAAAAAGGCACAGCACACCAACATCAAAACCTCATCCCCACTGTAAAACATGGCGGAGGGAGTATCATGGTTTGGGGCTGCTTTGCTGCCTCAGGGCCTGGATGGATTGTTGTCATTGATGGGAAAATAAATTCCAGAGTTTATCAAGACATTTTGCAGGAAAACGTACGACCATCTGTCCGCCAACTGAAGCTCCGCAGAGGATGGGTGATGCAACAGGACAATGATCCAAAGCATACAAGTAATTCAACAAAACAATGGCTGCAACAGCACAGAATACGCCTTCTGGAATGGCTCAGTCAGAGGCCTGACCTCAACCCGATTGAAATGCTGTCGTATGACCTTAAGAGAGCGATTCACACCAGACATCCCAAGAATATTGCTACACTGAAACAGTTTTGTGAAGAGGAGTGGTCCAAAATCACTCCAGATCATTGTGCAGGTCTGATCTGCAACTACAGGAAACGTTTGGTTGAGGTTATTGCTGCCAAAGGAGGGTCAACCAGTTATTAAGTCCAAAGGTTCACATAATTTTTCCTCCCTGCACTGTGAATGTTTACATGTTATGTGCAATTAAACCATGGCAACATCTAATGTTTGTGTAGTATTATGTTCAGCAGACTGTGTTCTTCTATTGTTGTGACTTAGATGACGTTCAGAGCACATTTTATGCCCAATTCATGCAAAACTCCACGTAATCCCAAGGGGTTCACATACTTTTCCTTGCAACTGTAGATGAATGGAGATATCACCAATTGTATCACTTTATTAGGAACCTTCCAAAACCCCTAAGATCTAGAAAAGAGTGAAATCTGTTTGAGAGACTGCTTGAATCAAGGGGAGATGGGAGACACGGAACAGCAAAGATATATAAGATTCTCTCAGATTTAGACACAAATACAAAGCCAAAGTATATAGTTAATTGGGAAAGAGATTTGGGAGTGAAGATTGATGAGGATAAACAGAGGAAAATATTTAGATTAATTCACGAGAACATATCCATGAGAGAGGTGAAAATGAATTATAAGTGCTTGACAAGGTGGCATATCACACCGGAAGTGGAAAATAAGAGATGAGTTGTGAGAAATCACGGTGGTGTTGGAGAGGATGTGGAGAGAGTGGCATGTTGTATCATGTATGGTGGGGGTGCCCAAAAATTCAGGTATTCTGGAAGGAGATAGTGAATTTAATTAGGATAACTGAAATTGATGTTGGTTTGGAACCAGCGACTTGTCTTGTCTTTCATTGTTCGGAGTATTCTGTGAACAAATATAAGGAGACGGGTATTTGGTATTATCTAAATGCAGCAAAAGGGTTAATACCCAAGTTCTGGCGGAAAGTAGAGGTGTTGAGGGAGGAGGACTGGGTGGAGAGAGTCGATCAGATCTGTAGGATGGAAAAAATTATCTATA